CAGAACGTGGGGGCTCGCAAGGATTCTAAAAATTAATACTGGCTACTATAGGCTGGTATTAAACTCCCAGGGTCACAGCTTCTCTCTGACCTTGGATGGGTAGATGCTGCCACCACCCAAATGCAAAGCCCCTTGGAATCCAAGAAGGTGCACTTGGGAATTCCTTTCTGTGGGGTATCCTCAAGCCCTTTCAGACACACCCCTCCGGGGAAGAGCTGAGAAAGGAAAACAAATTAGCTGTTGCCACCAGTTAACTAAAAAAACATGTGCACAAACCTCTTAAGAATCTTATCTACTTACATATCTGGGTTTCCAAATAAGCAATTCTAGGTATGATTCTGATGATTTTCATACCTGGCCTTCAGCTTCTCACAGCATAACTGCTGCCTTGTTCCCCTCTTCTCCGGAGAACCACAACACAGACAATGGGAGTCTTTTTTTCAATTTTAAAAAGTTCTAGCCCTCCCATTGGCTCTTTTGGTTAGGTGCCCACTCACTTCCTTTTACCTGTGGACTTGTTAACTCCTTACAGGTACAGGTAAAGCAAGTAGAGAACAGCTACTAGCAGGGATTTGTAGCTAACTGGCTGGCTGGCTGTCCATAAAAGGGAACTACCCCCCTCATTTATCACACTTTTATACGTGCATATTGACTCTCTGCCTTGGATCTGCATGTACTCACCAGGAGTGCTTGTATTGATGCACAGTGCAGGGCACCACAGATAAGTATTCAGCATGCAAGCTGCCACCATCCAATGCACGTCTTTTTGGAAGTTTTGCAATGCATGGTGCAGTGGAAACTAGTTGCAGAGGGGTGACTGGGAGCAAGGGGTCAATTTCCAAGCATTCAACTGTCTCTGCCCCATAATGTCATCTGTATCCCATAATTTTCATGCCTTATTTAAAAACCCCATTAAGCTGTGCGGTCCCACTTGCTGACTTCCATCTCTGACAGAAACACAGAGCCTGTACAGCTCCGCACTATTGTCATAAGCGTTGCAAACACAGGATGCACAGATTGCTGTGGGACATAGCAAGAACCAATTCAAGGTTGGTGGTGGTGTTGTTCAGGGAGCAGCTGCAAATGGTGGAGTACCACTTTTAGGCCCAAGAAACAAACAGGTTGTAATGAATGCTTGGGATGATGAGCAGTGGCTGCAGAACTTTTGGATGCACAAGAACACATTCCTGGATCTGTGTTAAGGTTGCCAACTCTGACTGAAGCTTATTCCGGGAGACTCTCCCCCCACCCCGGCCGGAAGTAATTTCATTTTCTTAAAATATCTATTAACATCTCCCAGATTGCTTTCAATAGTCACCGGGCGATGGCTGCCAATTCCGGGAGACTCAAGGCCAATCCTGGAGGGTTGGCAACCCTAATCTGTGTGCTGAGCGCATCCTAATTCTCCAGTGCAGGTACAACAGAATGAGAGCTGCACTGACAGTGGAGAAGCAAGAGGTGCCTGCACTGTGGAAACCTGCAATGCCAGATTGCTACCAGGCAGTGGGAAATTGTTTTGGAGTTGGAAAGTCTACCGTGGGAGCCATTGTCATGCAAGTGTGCAGGGCCATTAATTGCCTCCTGCTACAAAGGACCACAGCCCTTGGCAATGTGCAGGACACAGTGGGTGGATTTGCAGCAATGGGCAAGGGACCGCAGCCCTTGGCAATGTGCAGGACACAGTGGGTGGATTTGCAGCAATGAGGTTTCAAACTGCAGTGGAGCAACCAACAGCACACGTATCCCTATTTTGGTACCAGACCACTCTGACACAGAGTACATCAACAGAAAAGGCTACTTTCCTACGTTTATGGAAGCACTGGTGGATTACCAGGGACGTGCCACCAACATCAACGTGGGCTGGTCAGGGAAAGTCGTATCTTTAAGAATGAGGGACTGTTCACAAAGCTACAGGCAGGGACTTTCTTTCTCATCCAGCAGATTACCATTAGCTTTGTTGAAATGCCAATAGTGATCTTGGGGGACCCAGCCTATCCTTTGCTCCCCTGGCTCATGAAGCCATACACTGGCCAACTCAACAGCACCAAGGAAAGATTCAACTACCAGCCCAGCAGATAGTTGAATGCACTTTTGGTAGAATGAAGGGACACTTGTGATTTTTTTATTCACAAGATTGGATCTCAGTGGCAAAAAATCCCAATGTTTATAGCTGCCTGCTTCATCTGGCATATCATCTGTGAAGCAAAAGGGGAAAAGTTGCCACCAGGATGGAGGTGGAGCAGCTCTCTGCTGAGTTTGAACAGCCGGACACAAGGGCTATTAGACAGTCTCAATTGGAGTAATACGTTTCAGGGAGGCTTTGGAAGAGCACTTTAACAGTGAACCACAGTAATATCTATCAGCCCCAGCTAATTTGGGGCCTGTTAGGAATTGTGTAGTGATTGGTGTACATCTATGAATAAAAGTCAATGTACCTATTAATTTTACAGTGCTTGCTATACATTATTACAGTTTGTCACTGACCCTATACATTGTATCACACTGTACAGTAACAAGTAGGTGGTTGCTTTCAGAACTGTCAAAAATATTTTCCAAATAATTTTATTCAGTAACAAAACCAGTGCAAGAAAAATTGTGCAATTTAAAAGCAAATACATGAAAAACTTAAGTTAATAGAACAGAACTCAAAGAGAAAGGACATTCATATCAATTTTACCTTCAAATACAGCAACTGTGGCTTTCAGAGGTCAGCGTATATAAAGCTGGGGTTATCCTTAATGTACCCTGGACTGGCATGGCAGAGGTAGGATGTGACCCCTGATGCCACATGAAATGTTGAGGAGGAGGTGTGACAGAGTTTTCTATGGACTGCAAAGGGAGGCAAGCCAGTGATTGTTAAACCTGGAGTTCCACAAGAGTCTGCAGCAACTGTCTGCACTGCCAGAGAAGCCCATTATGTCCTGCTGCATCCATCTCTCCTTTTCCTGCTGGGATTTTATCCTGTCCGCTCTTTCCTTCTCCAGTCTGTTCGCAATGTTCACCTTCCAGGTTCTTTGCTCTTGGTCTGATGCAGCACTGGCTTGCAGGATCCCATTGAACATGTCATTGAGTCCTCTTCTTTCTCCTCCTTATATGGCTCACATGGTCCACGGCTGTGGAGGGGGAACTCCTCAAGGCTGCAACAGCAGCAGATGAAACACACAAAGGTGCCATTGTCAATATAGTCACAATGGAAAGCAAAAGTTAAGATCAGAACTCCCTTCCCTTGCTTCACTGAAATTTTAACCAAGACATGCTTATTGACACTTCTGCTTATGAACAGTGCCACTCTCAGCACCAGCCATGGTGAGTATGGACTGCCAAAGGTGAGGGAAACAAGGAGGGAATTGCTCAGTTGGACCAAACTTGATTATCAGACAACAGCACTGAATACTGGCCCCATTTTTCACAGGTGGTTATTTTAGTGGATCTCATTCCAGAGGGTAACAAAGGGGGAGAGCACAGCTGTTGCTGGTGCACCGAAGCCTGTGTAATGCAGTGGTGCCAGCCAAAGTTATCACCAACTGGCATAGGAAAGCATCCTACATGGAGAAGGAAACAGCTCACATCCCTAGAAACCTTTGGGAGAGGATTTCAGAGTACCTCCATGGAAGTTTCCTTGAAATCTCGCAGGAGGGAAGAGACATACTTGTGTTCATACAATGCTCCACATGGCCCCCTTGCCTAACTCTGCCGGGGATTATAAAGCCAATAACACTGCATCTTTGTTGTACTGTTACCTCTTCTAATAAGAATAAATTAATGAAAAAAAGGCAATGGCTGTGTCCTGCTAAATTGGAGGCATCATTACTGTAATGGGAAATAAATGTGCACACTAACCCAAGGATCCTTTCCCTCCATCAAGCTTGCCCATGCTCAGTGGCTGGGACTGACTGGACTGAGGTGGAATTTCAAAACAGTCCTGGGTCATGGCATCACTAACCCCCCTGGTCACATGTCCCCCCATCCTCTTCCTCATCTTCCTTGCTGTTCAAGCCAGGGGCCTGTGACCCAGACTCCTTTATGTATCCACAGTGGTCCGCAGGGTGATGGTAGAATCCCCAACAAGTCTGACATGCAGCTTTTTGTAAAAGTGGCAGGTCTGCGGCTCAGCACAGGATTGCTATTGGTCTCTCTAGTCTTCTGGTACACCTGATGTGGTTCCGTCACGTTCACATGGCGCTATTGCTTGTCCCCGTCCTTCCCCTTCTCCTGCATCCCCCGTGCACATACATGTCCACATTTCTACAGTTGGTCTGCAGCTGTGCTTGCAAACCGCCTCTTCCCACAAGCCCAGGAGATCCAATATTCTGTCCATTCCAAACTAGAGCATGTCTGGAGTGTGCAGTTGCACACAATGGAGAGCTGCTAGTTTGCTCACCAAACTGGACAATCAGGAAAAGTCATTTCAAAACTTTGTGAGGCTTTAAAGGGGTGTGCAGCCTTCCAGTCTCTGACCCCTGGGCAGTGGAGTTCACAGTTGCGACCAGAGTGTCGGTCATTGTAGGACAGCTGCTGGAGGATTGTTCGGGTTGACGTAAGTAACAGTGTCTACCCAGGCGTTGTATCAACCCGAGTACACTGACTGTGGCTCAACGCCACTCAGGGAGGTGGTGTTACTGTATTGCAGTAACGGAGCATTTACATCAGTAGGAAACAAATTTAAGCACAGAAACATGCACAACTATGTCAACGCAATGTGGCTTATGTCGACCTAACTTTATAGTGTAGACAAGGCCTCAGTCTACCACCTACAAACTGATGGGTTAATAGACTGATTTAACTGTACCTTGAAGTCAGTGCTCCAGCAATTCGTTAAGACAGGTGCTAAAGATTTGGGGCCAGTATACCCTATTACGTGAAGCCATTAGAGTGCTCAATCAATTAAACGTGGAAGAATGAAACAGAAGATGCAATGTACCAAAGGACAAGAAATCACTTTACTCGTATGCTAAGATGTATCCTTTTCTGGTAAATGGTCCAATAAAAAATGTCAACAGTTCTTTTAAGTTATCCAAACTCATTTATTGACAATTTAAATGTGACATATATACAGGAAATAGCACTGGTTCTAAAATAATTTAACAATTTTTATAGATTTATAAAAGTACTGATAAATAGGAGACCCTGACAATTACCAACCACAAATATATTTTCCTATGCTACTGAACCACAAGAGTAGTTCTAATTTTAATAAGTCCCATAATGGAGCTGCTTTACCTCCACCTAATACATAAAACTGCCAATACCAAAATATAGTAAAATGAACATGCAGTGCCAAAGCTGTACCAGAGCAAGTGATTTTAAATGTGAGAACGATAGTAAAAATATTTCAATTCAAAGTGTCTCCCACACAGTGCGTACTTGTGAAAAATAAGCTTTCAAAGTACTGTTGTCTTATTTTGGTACAAGTTAAAAACTACACTACTTGTTTAGACTGCCACAATAATTTCAACCCTGCACTAGCTTTCACGTGATGTTGAAGAGTAAAATGAAAAAGTGTAATTTCCAAATACTATTGCCTAAAAACAGTGGTTAGTTTATGGATTAACAAGTTGAAGATGCTGACGTAATGGCTTTGAAACTAGATAATATTTAATTCTCACATTACACCAATTACTCTATCCTCGGATCAACAAGTTACTGTGGAAAAACCCTCTCTCTCTCAGGTCAGAAGTCAGTTTGGAAGCTGGAGCAAAGATGGACTTTTCTGATATGTACTTGTTAAGTTCCAGAAGACTAACAGTATTGCAACAGTGGGAGATGTGAATCACAATAAGCAGCAGCATATGGAATTTGTGGGGTTGGTTGGTTTTTTTTTTTTTGGTTACAGCAAACATTTTTAAAACCTAACAATGAAACCAGTACGTGCTCAAGCTAATCAAATATTTGAAATGTAAAAGTTCTTATATCTTTTGTTTGCATCACTGAACCCATAACAATGCACACATGTAACAAATATTCAGTTTTATAAAAATCACATATTGCACAGCTAGTAGATGCAATACCAGCATGCTGGTATCCCTAGCATAAGATTTTCTATTTTAAATAATTGTTTTGAACTACATTACTCAAAATAATTTCACCCCAAGGTTCAAAACCATGTAAATAAGGTCCGTGTACACATAGAGTCTCAAAATGTTTAACAAGATGAGAAAAAACACAGGCACTTTAATAGATTATTAGTGCACCAAAATTACAGGCCACAATTGCATGACTATAAACAGTTCAGTACCAGTTTTGACATCAAACTAAATAAATGAGGTCTTTCACTGATCCAAATATAGAAACAAGAACTGTTCACAAAGTACTGATAAGAAAAAAATCTCTCAAAAAAGTAATCCTAAACAGTATATGTTTAGACACTTAATACAAAGTAATTGCAGCAAAGCTTAATGTAATGCAATATAAAACTGGTTTACTTCAAAGGCGTAAGATGTAGTAGTCTGATTTCCCACCCCCCATCCAAAACACCATTGTAGGTGGTCCATTAAAATCAAATGTGCAAAAAAATTACAATTCATCTTTAGGAGAGCATCAAAAATAGGCTTAATGTTCAAAATAGCATTATTATTCTAATGTGAATTTTACAGCACCATATACTTAGAATTCTAAGAGCTTAGAATTCTTAGTCTGGTAATATTTCAGTTAACAATATTGATCTGATAGGAACACAAGAGACTTTTTGTGCATATCCCAGTATCTGAAAAAGTCATAACATTTTCAAAAGAGGAGAGAAATAATTCTCACATATGCATAAAGTCTTAATCTGGTTTATAATGAAATTAAATAATCACATTTGTAGGCATTACATTTTCTATAGTATAGCATTAAAATATTGAATGTAATTTTAGGTTTGCCAAATTGAGGATAAAGAGTTGCTGGTACCTTATTTACTGACAGCAGTACATATCTTAACCATGTAGTTTGGCCCCTTCCTATTAGAAAGTGATTTATTATCAGGCTGTGAGAAAAAAGCAGAAGGTCCATTTCTGACCCTAATTTGAAGGCAGTATATAATTATTTAATATATATAATTATATATGCATGTACCTGTGTATACACATACCTATGTTTATACACACATACATAAAATCAGTGTTCCATTCTCTTTGTTCTTTCTTCCTAAAATCTTCTTTGGCTACAAGTCTGACCAAGGAAATCAGAGGACCAAACAGATGGATCATTCTCCAAACACTTCCATTATTACACGTCACTGACTGGAAGGCTTGCATCATCCAGATCCACTGGGCCAGGATCCTGTTCCTGAGTGCCATTTTTACTTTGAGGTTCCAATAGGCTCTGTACAGTCACTTTGGAAGCTGGTTCTCTTGGAGGGACAGCCTGGACCTTGAAGTTCCCTGGCTTGGCCTTGGTAAAAGATTCGTGAAATCCTCGCTTCTCCAAGGCAAGGCGTTTGGCGTTAAGGTTTGAGACCAGAGCGTTGTTGTGAGAGGCTGTGGAATGTGAGGTGGCTGCGGTGTTGGCAAAACAGAAAGCATAGCTGGATTCTGAAGAAAAGCTGGAATGCTCCTGTAAAAGGATAAGTGTTTGTCAGATGGAGTCAGTTATTAATGCCATGTTAGTAACTCAGTTCCAGACTTTACTCTGTAAACTAAGAGAACAGAAAAACAAAGCAAAGCATCAGCCATGGCAGCAGGAAGTGGGTGCCTTCCCAAGGCAATGCATTTTTAAATGTGAGCTTACTGCTGTATGTGATAGCAAACATCCACTGCAGTGGAAGAAACTAAGTTAGGTTCCTGAAGTCAAGCTTGGCAGCTCTTTACATTTTGATACAAGAGATTAGCAAGCCCAAACTGATTTTTTACTAATATGTTTAATGGCAATTAAATTGTGTTCGTTTTCAATACATGTTAAAGCTCACATCTTCAATGTCATAGATGGAAAAACTAATTGCAAGAGAAAAGTGTTTTCAAATGATATTTGGTATACAAATACATATATTATATATATTCACATTCCAAAATCTGAAGCACTGTGGAACTCTCACTGCTCCCTCCCCTTAGAATACTCTGCTGAATCAAGTTAAAGCACGTTACGCTTTTGTTCACTGACAACTGTTGATCTATTTCCTATTTTTGTTCCATTTTATTCTACTAAGCCACAGAGCAAAATATGATGAATTAACTACTGTAAGAAGTTAAAGAATCCCTTTCTGGAATCCTAATTGTTGAAATCTTAGAAAATATACTTAAAATAATGCTTTTGAATCTAGATAAACAGTCTTTTTTTAAACTGCAAGAGCAATACTGAAATTTTTTTTTTTTCAGAACAACTCAAGCTACAAATTGTACAGAAGTCATTTTCAAGTGCTTATTATGGATACTTGCCATTCCGTTGAATGAGAATTTTGGAAGAGTCAAATTCAGGCAATAAATCTACCACTATTTAAATACCTTCTTGTCAGAAAGGGGGCAAACTATCCTTATCTATTACATTATGATTCAGGTAGGCTAGCGCATACTTATGCCATTTTTGACTTTAATATAATTACTTTGATAAATCACCATAATAGGTCTGTCAAAGAAAGAGAGATCCTCTATGTCAACGATCTGAAAACATTTTCATATCAATTGTCAGTTTAATTTAGCATGGTATTGGATAGATTTATAGATATAATTAAGTTTGCAGTGTTGATTTGGCCAAATCAACAATATTACCCATATATTAAATAGGTAATATTTATATTTTCAGAGCTATTATGCATTTGTACATGCATCATAATAGGATATGTGTTAAGAATTTAATTTGTTGACCTTTCACATTGTTTTTAGGAGCAATTCCAGGGAAAGTATTTTACATTATTTTGTCATGTTTTTATGGTCAATAGCCCACTTGCCACACCACTTATTTCTAATAGCAAACAATGTTTATAAAAAAGCAATTGTGCTATATGGTTCAGTGATATATCTGGCATTCCAATCTATTTTCATCGGTAACTTCAGTTACACAAGTGGGAAAGCTGAATCATTATGCCAAGTTTTCTAATAAACTACTTTTGTTCAGATTTTGCTACCTCCTCTGATAAATTCCTAGTTTAAGACATTAAGCTGCTTTACTTTTTAAAATATTTTTTAACATAATGTACAAGTTACAAGTAACAACCCCTTCTATATTCTGGCTAATAATTTCATGCATATGAGTTTTAAAAGCCATGCAAATCAGGCTGCAATATTATCCTTCCAATTATTGCAGTTATAAGATGCTTGTGTATGTGCACACATCTGTATTAGTTGGGGATAGCTTTTATTTGTATTTTTGCTGTTACAAGGTGTCAAAGTTGTAAGGTAAAAAACGGAAATATGAACTCTCATGCAAATTAATCAAAGTTTTAATACTTTGCTCTTTAAATTGCATTTTATGTATTTTAAGGTAGTACATTTGTACTTTGAATGTGAAAAATGACTTAGCATCATTGTTTTTGCCATTACTAATTTAAAAAATCAAATTTATTTTAGAAATCAATAGGTAATACTTAACTGCAAATCTAATGAGTGGTGTGAAGTAGTTTATAAATTAGTTTTCAATAATGGGAACTGAAAAAAGCAGTGGGATTAAGAGTTAATTTTACATAGTGTATATTAGCGTTTTAAATCCTAGCCCTCTGTTAAGAAGGCAAGTTTACATGAGAGCCCACATACGTGCTGCATTCACCAGTTCTTGATGTATACCTCTGTATACAAGGATTCGACAGCCTTCTGGCCTGCCGCATCTGGAACACAGTGCAAAGCTAAGATTAGAGTAACCCATACTTCAAGAAGGGAATAGAGGGAGGAAAAAGAGAGGAAGTGTTGCCAATAGTTATAGCTAGGTTGCTTAGTCAGCCCCACCACAAAGCATACACACACTAAGAAAATACCCATCTCCCTCTTTTCCTCTACCCCAGAAAACTTTTAAACTGAGTCTATTTTGTGATAGCAACTTTTACTTAAAACATGAAGCAGCTATAAAATTACTAGCTGCAAATACTAGTCTTTAGATCAATTGATAGCAATCACACTAGCACACCATCTACGTGACTGCTGCACATTTAATAGCCAGATTTCAAAATGTAGATTTCCAATGTATTATGGGGGTAGATATACTCAGTTTATTACAAAATATCACATAGCAAAAAAGTGAAAACCATACCTTGCAGCATCTGAACTGTGAAGTATTCCATGATAATTTTGGACATACTTGATGACACGGACACTATTACAATCTTTAGCATGAAATACAATAATCTGTAAAAAAAACCTGAGCATTTCTAATGTAGGTCCTAATGGAAAAATATATATGAATGCTGCCATCCACATGCTTAACAACTTATGATTTAGGTCACAGTTGTACACACACAGTTCAGTAATGCTAGATGGTGTTCACACTGGGTCTCCAACAGCAAAACTTCTAATTCATACGAGGTATTTGCAATCCCCTTCTGGCCCAAAATGCATTCAGTTTGGAACCACAGCTACTAACGTGACATATGGCCAATAGTTAATCCCGAGGATGTGCAAATTGAGGACCCAAGATAATTTTTAATCAATCTTTTATATAATTTGATTGCAAAATTTGTAATTAGCAAAAAATCTCGCCAGAATTAGCGAAGTTTCACTGTAGTTCTTCAACTAGTAAAAGCTTAGTAGTAAGAGCTCATACTGAACTCAAAAATCTTCACACTCAGCACTTGCATTGTCTTTACGTTTAAGACAATGCAATGCGTACAAAGCTCCATACAGATAACTCTAAATGAGCACTCAATTAGAAATGCAAAATATTTTATGCAAATTTAATATGCATGAAAGTTCATGCAAAGGAGATATGTTACTACAGGACTGGGAGAAAGGGAGATGAAAGAGGAACAAAATAGAATTTCTTGTACTAGATTGACACCTCTTAGAGGCCATATATTATCTACATATCAAACACATACAGAAGCTGCTGATCTTCCCGGTCCCCGTTGTGCCACTATGGCCCCAGAGATCGCTTTTATCCAGCTGTGCATGTCCTCCGGGCTGTCTGCCTAAATCAAAATAAAAATTTTAAATTAACATTAGATGGCTATTTAAGCTGGGTGAAGATGCTGTTTGTTTATATGGGTAGTCTGGGAATACAATGACCAGCCTAGCTTTCTTTCCCATTGGCAAGCAGGGGTAGGATTTTTCTAACTACCTATGACATTGGAGCACAAGTGTCCATGGTTTTCAGTGGAATTTATACTCCTAAATCACTCAGACACTTGTGAAAATCATCCAAGATTATTACATCATATTTGTAATATTCCTCCAGGTCAATACTCTGATAACACTTCCATCAGAATTGGATTTACATGTTGGTTTATTTTTTAAAGGTGATCATTGTAATTCTCACAGGATTTTCAGTGATGTATATAAAGGGGACTTGTCCAATACCACACCCTCATATTTCTTCTTCACTATTGCTGTTTCCTATGAAACAGAAACTAACGTGGTCGGGTGAGGGATCTGGTGAAATACTGCACAAAGTAACCGATATGATTTATTGCTGGTGACATGCTATACACACACACACACACACACACACAGAGTGAGTGAAAAGGTCTGGTGTTTAAGTTAGGGATCAGCCAAATTTGCAGATAATGAAAATTGTTCATCTACATTCTCAAAACACTACATAGAACACATGCCAACACACTGTACAAAAAAGTCTGTATTACACACACTTCAGATGATACAGAAAATAAATTGTGTTCTTACTTTGATTAAATTAACATACTATTTAGAAGAATCAATCCCCTAACTCCTTACAACCACCTTATTGGTGCACGCACACAGCAACCAATTGATTGTTATCTCAATCCATACATTATAGGATAGGAAACAACTGGAATAATTAAAACAAGTACTATATTTTCCAGTTAACCACACTGGGACAAATCATTGCTTCTCAAGCTCCACTGTCTCTTCTTATTGAAAAGGTGTGTGTGAGAGTGAGTGAGTGAGTGAGTGAGAGAGAGAATTTGTAATTTTTTCTTTGCTTTTGTTGTCTGTCACTTGTTTTTAGTCATCAGTGAACCAGTATGGATTGATGAAGTTGTCAATTTCTGTTTTGCTCAGGGCACGTATTAATAGGTTAAAATTAAGGACTTTGTGGGGGAGGGTAACTCAAACTACCCATTTCCATACTTTCACATGTATGGGGTTCTTTTAAATATAACTTTTAACTCTTAATTTCTTGGGTCTTAGCAGTTGAAATTTTTTAAAAAATTCTTGACAATATTTTAATTCTCATCACTAATTCCATCTTAAAGCTGTGTGTCTGGGATATAAACACAAGATCCCCATTCATCAATTTGCTTTCATAGGAATATTTCAAAATATATCTGAAATTGCAGAGTTTGGTACACTTTCTTTGCACATATGCTGACTACATTAGACTGAAATGCTATACAAATAGCTGCTGTAGCCTAAAAACAAATCTAAATTCAGTGTTCAATGATTCAACAAGGAGTCAAAATATGGCAGTAGTAGTGACTGAAGTAATATTACTGAAACAAGCACTGCACTAATCGCATTTTTGAGGTATCTGGTCTAGGGCTTTCACTATTACCAGGAATGTGAAATATGTATTTCAATTAGGATACTTAATTCATAGCAGCCCAATATTCACTGAACCATTTTAAAATGTGATGCAAGAATAAATATTCAGCAATAAACAAAAGAAAACCTTGCTAAAGCATACAGTGGGTTGACAAGAACATATTAAAACCTTCTAACCAAATCAGTCATAAAATAGTGTCTGGGAACTTGCACATTGCAGCGAGACAAGATACCAAGTTAGGAGTTGTTCTTAGAGCTACACTAATTCATTAAAAGAAAAAGAGTACTTGTGGCACCTTAGATACTAACAAATTTGAGTATAAGCTTTCGTGAGCTACAGCTCACTTGGTATATGCTCAAATAAATTTGTTAGTCTCTAAGGTGCCACAAGTACTCCTTTTCTTTTTGCAGATACAGACTAACAGGGCTGCTACTCTGAAACTAATTCATTAGTATCTCTTGACAGCTGAAAGCCCAGATTCTATCTGGGTAAAATTAAATGAAGCTGGTATATGGTAAATATGTTCTCCACTACATTTAGCATGTCTTCACTAAAGAATTCTAAAAAGGTCTATGGTCTGCAGAACTCACAGTAAGCAGAAAAATGGTAAAAAGAAACAACTGCTCCATTATGTTCATTATCCTATTAAATAATTATTTAACCCTGAACTAAAAAGGACAGATGTACACAATGTGCCAAACAACTTTTTCTTGTTTAGAAATTCATTAATGTGATAAGACATCCAACTTCTGCATTAGCAAATCGACCAAGTTATTATAAAACAGCAGTTGACAATACCTCATATAAGAACAACAGTATCTTGCATAAAGGGAACAAATAGTCATCATAATACCTTACTCTGGAGATTTTTATGTCAAGAACTTGCAAGGAAGAACCCCAATAGTGACAAGTTCCTACCAATGGTTTCACAAACAAATGATCTGGGGACAAATTTTTGCTAACTCTTTGGTTTCACCTCTATTTCCGAAATGTAACTTCCTCATTCGGGCATATGGGAAGAATGTTCTAACATATCATCATTAAAGCTACCTTGCTAAAGTCTACTTTCACACATCTGGAGAGAGATTGTCAATTTGGTGGGTTTTGTTTGATTTTTAAAACAAGTAAAGTATGTATAGTTCTTAAAATCAGCCTGGTAAGGATATGTGAGCAGATTGTTTTGTGCATGTACTGTTAAGTGTTCAGTAAGATATGGCAAGAATCACTGAAGTATTTTCTGGTTGTGAAAGCACCACATACAGCCAACAAATCAAAGAACATTCAAAGTGAAAGTTCATTTTTTAGACAGAGATATTACAAACAAAGGCTATTGGAGCTACACTGCAGTAGTTCACATTCATCAGTTAAGGTTACTAGTTTGAATCTTTGACCATTAATCTCCTAGATCTCTGTAGTTTAAATCCACAGTGAGTTGAAAAACTAATTTTCTATAAATAAAAATGTAATAATTTAATTAAAAATACAAATTTTGTAAGTGTATTGACCTCACACTACAGAATTTAAATAACTTCATGCCAAATGTCAACTCAAAAAAGTATTTTAGTTAATAAATGACAGGCTGTTTAGGACTTTCATAAACTTCAATAGTAATTCATTCTTGCTTGCAAATCTGACATTTCTCATATGGATTTCAGAACAAAATTGCAAAGAAGAAAACCTACACTAACATGAAAAGACAGTTGGAGAAAGGTCTATACTATACTATAGTATTTCACAACCAATGTATGTGCAACTGAGAGGAAGACTGAAGACTACTTTCTCAAGAAACAATTTTAACAGTAAAGTATTTATGCTTAATTTTCTTGCAGAATGATCTAGTTTTACCCAGAGTGAAAGATTACCTGTACATAAAAGGTTCGAGAAGTTGTTACAATTTCAAAGAGATTGTCTCTCATCATTATATCACTGCAAAGACAAAACAAAACAAATACTTAATAGGAATTTAGATTTTTAAACTGCTCTACTTAAAAACAATGTTATAACTAGAAAATCAGAGTATGCAGAACTCTGTATCCATCACCCTTCAAATTAAACTTTCATCTTTCCTGATGAGTTGGTAGTCACTATCAATGTAATCAAAGTAACTGAAATCAAGCAGTTATTAGAGGAAAAGTTATATGACTGATTGTGATGGGATGTATCAACCCTGCACTAGCCCAGCAAGGGTTAATCACTCACTGCAGGCTCAGGAGGCCTCACCCCTTCGCCCTTGCTGGGCATGCTCCAGCTGGGTATAAAAGAAAGCAATTTAGCTCAATCTGGGCTGATTGAGAAGGAGAGCAGACACATGGTACAGGTTCCTGCCAGGAAGCCACTTGAGCCCCAGACAGCGGAGGCCAAACACTCCGAGTCCACTGAGGACCCCCAGTCAACCGCAGAGATAGAGGGAGACAGACAGCAGCTGCTGCCCTGGAGGAACTGCCAGAGCTGGAATCACAGGTAGAAAGCAGCTCAGGGAATGTGTTTGTGGAGGCTGGAACCTGAAACCAGGACTACTGATTTCACAGGGCACTGGGTTAGGACCTGGTGAAGTAGGGTGGGACCAGGTCCACCTACCCAGCCTACTGCTGGGTGCAGCAACTGCCCAAGGTATTAAGCACCACAGCCCAGAACTGTGAAAGTTAAGTATGACTGCCTGGAGATCAAGGACTTAGCCGCTAGGCCTCACTGACCTGAGGAAAAGGGAGGCCTCAGACTCTGGCTGCTAGGCCTCGTTCCCCTGAATGCGAGGGGTCACAGTCACCAAAGGTGGTAAGTTCTCTCTCCTCCACCCCCTTTTTCACCTCAACTCACATCCCGCAACAGGGTACATTACCCCCACGACATTGATGGAATGCATTTTACTTTTATTGGCAAATTCTTAACTTTGAATTTAATCTCAAATACAAAGAATAGTTACTTACCCTGTAGTAAATGTGGTTCCTCAAGATGTTGCAGTCAGTGTGTATCTGACATGAGATCAGTTTTCTGAATAGCCATGTCCATCAGGGCTGTGCATGAACACTGTGCCTCTTAACAGCATAAGGGAGGAGTGGCCAGAACCCTCCCTCAGAATTCAAATCCTACTTTTTCTGAGGACTCCAAAAAGTGGGGATGGAAGGTGAGTCACAGGATCCACACTGACTACAACATCTTAAGGGAAGGTAACTTTTTTCTTCAACTGTTTTTCAAGATGTGATGCAGACATATATTCTACTTACATGTGTGCCCAGCTCACTGGAACCGAAGAAATTTGCTGAGCAGTACCTCTCGGGGTGACAGTCACCCTGCAGCCCTACCCCAACCCCAGCCAGATACGGGCTGCACTGCCCTGACCCCCACAGTTCCTTTGCACTGAATGTCAGATGTACAGACTCCTAAAGAGGATGGATGATGGGTCATGGAATACACATCTGCATCACATCTCGAACAACAGATACAGGTAGGTAACCATTTTTCTTTTGAGTGGATGCAGCCATGTATTCTACTACAGTGATTCACAAGTGATACTCATAGGAAGTGGGGCAGGAAGTCTATTTAAAGAAGGACTGCAGGATTGCCTTCCCAAAGTTTGCATGCGATCTGGATGCAGCAGTAATTACATGGTGTTTTATAAAAGTAAGCACAGAGGATCAAGTGGCAGCCCTGAAAATATCCAATACTAGAATGTCACTTAGAAATGCGGTCAATGTTTCCAGTGCTCTTGTGGAATAGCACAATATAGTGCTCCCTTTGAGAAGGTATAGCCTGAGCTACTTCATACACTGTTATGATACAGGAAGTTCTCCACCTGAAGATGGTCTAAGAGACTGCTTGACCCTTCATTTGGTCTGCATATGAAACAAACAAACAAAAACAAGTTGAGGAGCTGAAAGCTTTGGTGCTATCTAGATAAAAAGCCTAAAATCCAATGTAAAAAGACACTGTTCCTATGGGAATGAATGTAGCTTAGGGAAGAACACTGGTAACTATATAGCTTGGTTCAAATGAAAAGAAGGAAAACCACTTTGGATAAAGACTTTGGGTGTTGCTACAGGGCTACTTTGTCTTTAGAAAAGTCTGTAAGGGGGCATTGCCAATTAAAGCCTACAGCTCACCCACCCTCCTGGCAAATGTTATTGCCACAAGAAAGGCAGTTTTCTGACACAGAAAGGAGAAAGAGGCTGGAATGGAAGCCCCACAAGAGCTACTAAGACAGTGTTAAGATCCCACAAAGGAATTGGTTCTTTAACCAGGAAATGGAGATGAGCAACTCCTTTCAAGAACCTCATTGTCAGAGTTTGAAAACACCCACGTCCCATGTATGGACTGGTGAAAAGCCGAAATCGCCTCCAGAGGAATTCACAATGAACTAAGTGCAAGACCAGAAGACTGAAGGTATAACAAGTACTCAGGGATATCCTGGATACAAGCCAGCTTCAGATGAACTCCCCAGGCTAGCTCCTGTATTGAAAAATATTCCCACTTTACCAAATGAGCTTGGCACGGTCCAAATTCAGCTTGGGAATGACTTGTGGGATGATCAGAATTGGAAGAAAAAAGAATTGCTGATTCCCAGTGTAGGTGAAAAGCATTGGTGAAGAAGCCACAACTGAGACCCCCTAAGCAGCAGAACAGCTGCCATTTCTTGTTGTCCCTTGTGGTGAGCAGATCAATTGTCAAGATGCCTCAAACTACAAAATTGGACCACAAGAGGCTGGTCTTCAGGGACCATTTATGATTCTGGGAGAAATTTCTGCTGAGGTGATCCATTACATGATTCTGGATCCCAGGCAAGTGATTGGCTACGAGGGTAATGTTTTTCCTGATGCAAAACTGCCAGAGCCTGATCATCTCTTGACACAGCATGCTTGGAGTGTGTGCTTCCCCTCTCCCACCACATCTATTCACAGATTGCATTGAGGTGGTATTGTTGGTAAGGAAGTGCACTGAAACAATCTTGAAGGGCTGGACAGCCATGATGCACAAAACTCCTGGACAGAGATATGCAGAGAAACTTCTTGTTCTGACCACAGGCCTTGAACTTTCACAACTCCAGATGCACTCTGCAAACTTTTAAGGAATCATCAGTGACAACAGTCCTGGCCAGTGGGAAGCGAGCAAAGCGAACACCTGGCACACATTGCCCTGAACCGTTTACCACCGTAAGGAGTTCAGGATCAGCAGAGGAAGTCTGAACCATCTGTCCAAGGAATGACTATTTGTATGACAGGCCAACTTCAGACACATCTGAAGAGGACATAGGCGCAGTCTGGCATACTGGATTACCTGTGTGCACGCAGCCATATGGCATAGCAATCTCAGGCATACATGGGCCAGGCCTAAGACTCCACCTCCAGACATAGGTGGTGAATTTCCTGGAGACAATCAGTTGGCAGAAACTCTCTCAAACTCAGTCTATCAGGGCCTGAGTGAACTCAATTCTTTGAGGTGGAACCATTGTTGACTTCCCGCTGTTTAGGATGAGATCTCGACAACTGAGTAGGTGCAGTATGAAGTGCACATGACTGAGGACTTCCGCTCTGGACCTGCCCCTCAGTAACCAATCATCCAGATACAAGACAGGAACTCCTCTCTTCTTGAGGTATGCTGTTACTACTACCAGACACTTGTATTCAGAAAAAACCCAGCGTGCTGAAGATAGGCTGAAAGGCAGCATGGTGTATTGGTGGTGCCGGACAGTCACAACAAACCTAAGGAACCTCCTGTGACTCAGAAGGATTGTTACATGGAAATAAGCACCCTGAAGGTCCAGGGTAGCAAACCAGTCATTATGATTTAAGGTGGAGAGGACAGTTTCTAGTGTGACCATACGGAATCTCATATACATGATGTATTTGTTAAGATTGCAAAGGTCAAGTATAGGTTTCATTCCTCCCTTGGACTTGAGAACCAGAGATACGAGGAGCAGAAACCTTGCCCCTAATGATGCAGGCAGACCTTCTCTACAGCCCCCAGATGCAGTGTCTCTTCAGGGACCCCTCTCAAAAGAGATAGGGTGGGGAGGCGGTATGGAAAGTAACTGTATGGAATAACCTGATCTGACAGTGATTAGGCCTAGTTGTCCAAGGTAATCAAATCCCAAACACTGTAAAAACCAAGGCCAATGGGGGTGAGGAGCCAGCTGGTTAAACCCAGAACTGGCAAGCCCCTGACCTGTCCCCTGATTTTTACTAAAATACCCTGGGGCTGGGGGATTAAGTCAGGCTGACCGCCACTCCTCCAGCCCCAGGGGGGGCCGGCCCACTGCTCCGGCGTCCCTGGGACTCACTGCCAGCCCGCTGCTCCATCACCGCCGCTGCTCCTGCATCAGGGGTGGAATACCATTGCTCCAGCCCCACTGCTGTTCCTGTGACAGTGGCTGACTGCCACTACTCTTCAACCCCCGGGGGGCTGACCCAATCCCAGCTGCTGTTTCAGCCCTGGGGCCACTGCTCTGGCGGCCCCAGGGCTGATAGCTTCTCCAGCCCTGCTGCTGTGGAAGAAGTCACGGAGGTCCCAGAAAGTTACGCAAGCTATGACCTCAGTGACAGAATCCTCTAATTAAAAAGCCTGACCTTTCAAACACAGCTATGTCTACAAATAACCAGAGAGTCTGAATAGTTTGGTTCTGTCAAGTAATAAAATAAGGATCTGGAGACATCCAGAGTCTGAAGCTTCTTCTACTCTCAGCACTACCTGTTCCTTGTGAAACAATGTAGGGTGGCTCAGCCATGAGTGCTTGAAGCTCTCTAATCCTTCTAGTTGAGGTGACCGCAACCAGAAAGGGTGAGGGTAATCTGGTGCAAAGAGCATACTGAAAGAGGTTCAAAGATGGGCTCCCTAAGATTCAGGATGACAATATCAAGATCCCATGCCAGAACAGGGTCCCTAATGTCGCTGAGGACTGGTCTGACAGGAGCAATTAACTTCTGGAGTGAGGCGTCATTTCTTGTAGGATAGAATTAGGGAGGTAAACACATCATGAGGCTGAAAACAGAACATTTGTGCTAAGTAAGTTAACAGGTCAGTAATCTGAAAGACAGAATGTCTGAGCCTGCTAAGATAAGAGGGAGAACACTCAGGAAACCATTTACCAACAATTGGCAAGAGGAGTCAGGAATGTAGAGATGATGTAAAGATCAGATTCTACATGAACAGAACGGGATGTACATGGATTAGTTTCTGACAAGTAACCAAGCCAATCATGAGGCACATAATTCAATAATGTGTAAATGTATGTAAAGGAAGAGGTTTCCTATGTAACTTTGGATGTATCATAGGCCCTATACCCAAGCCCTATGTTTGAGTCCGATCCACTCAAGTGTAGCTTTGCTGTGTGCCAAACAAAATAACCTGAGTGACGAAATCTGGAGTCGAACCGAGCATTTTGGACCCAGAGAATTGGATGAAGTCTTCTCCCAGAACTGGGCAAGGTGTTCTGGATAAACAGAGTTGGAACAGCCTTGGAGGGAATCCTAGTGCATGCCTGGCAGTAAGCATGCAACGGGCTCGTGAGGAACCTGGGCACAGATGAGTCAGAGAAGATAAAGCACGACTGTCACTAGAGGGTAACAAGTCGAGACAAGGTGGACACTGACAGAGCTGAACAAGAGGCTATTTTTAAATGCAGCAAGTAGTAAAGGATCTTTGGCAACAGAAACTGCAACGGGTCTAGACTGTGTTAGGAAGCTCCGCCGTTTTGAGGCGCAAATCTTTCAGATGTTTTCCGTTCTGTAGAAGAAAATCTCCTGAATCTGCAAGGAGCAGTCTCTTTCAGTGACAAGAAAAGGAGTACTTGTAGCACCTTAGAGACTAACCAATTTATTTGAGCATGAGCTTTCGTGAGCTACAGCTCACTTCATCAGAAGTGATCATCATACCTCTTTCAGTGGTACTCTGCTTGCCAGCATCCATGCAATCAGGAACAGAGACTCTGCAGTCTGCCACGAGTGGTAAGAAGGAACTGAGGCAGGGTCACATTATTGCTATCACAAGGAGGCACAGGGCACACGCATGACCCTGACACATGCTGCTATTCAGAAAGACTCCAATCTCATGTATGTGAGGTGCAAGCACACCTACAGCAGAATCTTCACCAACACATACCCGAAGTAGACATTTCGGTTCCAGCCTCACTTCAAAATATACTGATATTAGTGGTTTAATTGTTTCCTTGATTTTGTCGTTTATGGTTCATTCTGACCTTAACTCACTGCTAGGGATCACGCAGTGCAAGCCTCAATATCGAGATCTCATATTATACATCATACATTGCACTGTTTAGATACAACAGGGTACTTAAACACAAAGCTATCTTTTGTCCCTAAATACACCAACTATCACACACGTATCTAAATTAACTAATTGGAATTAAGCTACACATCTTTTGGCTGATCCTACATTCTAGCCCCAACAACACTGTTTACTGTGATACTTCAGAATTTTGCATCAATGGTTAATTCTTCTCACCTTTGTTTACATTCCTGAACTTTATGGACCTCTTTAAGAGGTATGATCCGGAGAGGTTCCTTTTCCTGCAAAAAAGGAAAAAAGGTTTCAGTGGACTAATTTCTTTCAAGATTCAAAAACCAGGATTTTGTTACTCAGGACTGATTTGCAATAACAGAGAGATCTACAGGGAGACTTCCAAGGCAGCGATTCATTATGACTTTCTCCAGCTAAGACTTTGTTCACTCTCACAAGCATTGAACTCCTCCGCATATTCTAAAGCATGAAAGCATTATGAACTATTTTTTAAATTATTATTTGGAACTTTGTGTAGCTACCCATTATACTCAACTGGATAAAGTCCAAGAGGATCTCCATGACTTAAGCCACCTCTTTCTTTCCAAAGCATGGCGCAGTAATCAGAGAATCAGAATTGTAGGACTTGAAGGGACCTCGAGAGATCTAGTACAGTCCCCTGCCCTCATGGCAGGACTAAATACAATCTAGACCATCCCTGACAGGTGTTTGTCTAACCTGCTCTTAAAAAAATCTCCAGTGATGGAGATTCCACAACCTCCCCAGGCAATTTATTCAAGTGTTTAACTACCCTGACAGTGAGGAAGTTTCTTCTAATGTCCAACCTAACCCACCCTTGCTGCAATTTAAGCCCATTGCTTCTTGTCCTATCCTCAGAGGTTAAAGAGAACAATTTTTCTCTCTCCTTATTATAACATTTTATGTACCTGAAAACTATTATGTCCCCCCTCAGTCTTCTCTTCTCCAGACTAAACAAACCCAATCTTCCCTCAGAGGTCATGTTTTCTAGACCTCTTTCCTAGACCTTTTTTTGCTGCTCTTCTCTGGACCCTCCCCAATTTGTCCACATCTTTCTGGAAATGTGGCAGCCAGAACTGGACAATACACTCCAGTTGAGGCCTAATCAGCGTGGAGTAGAACGGAAAAGAATTACTTCTCATGTCTTGCTTACAACATTCCTGCGAATAAATCCCAGATTGATGTTCATGTTTTTTGAAACAGTATTACACAATTGATTCATACTTAGGTTGTGATCCACTATGACCTCCACATCCTTTTCTGCAGTACTCCTTCCTAGGCAGTCATTTCTCATTTTGTATGCGTGCAACTGGTTGTTCCTTCCTAAGTGCAGTACTTTGCATTTGTCCTTATTGAATTTCATCCTATTCACTTCAGGCCATTTCTCCGTTATACATAGGTCTATTTCCTGAACATTTAAATAAACCTCAGCACTGGCCTTTCAACTTCCAGTTTCATGTGCCACCATGTGGCTGTTGGAGGGAATAGGAAAGTTTCTCTCTCCTTACCTGAAATTTTATTTTTAATACTAAGGTTACTTATAGGTATTTCTGACAACTTGCAGCTTCAAGGAAGAACAAGACCTGTCTCTCATTGGCAGCAGGGGAATGCCCTACCTCCTGAAGTTACCTTCAGTGAGAAATTGCACAGCCAGGATGATTCAAATCTACTTTCCCTAAACTATAGATTGTTAACTATACTTTGCAGAAAAGCACAATGATTTCTCTTACAGAGCATACTAAATTCCATTTAATAACAAAAACACCCAAATCCTGGGATGCTAATTTCCATTCCTTATCTGTTCAGGATGATCCATTTGTCCACACGGAGGGCCGGATCTGTTAACCTTATTACTCAAAGAAAGGAAATTTTCAGGTAGCACAGACAAGTTCTCTTATTCTTTCTGCTAAGGCCCACAGATCCGTTACAATGGAAATTTCATAGAAATGTGCCTCCACAGTGCCTGGGAAGCAAGATCTTCCATTAAATATTGGCATCTGAAACAGATAAAATATCTCCTCTATCTTCCCCTGGGCACTAAGGCATGGAGAAGATTTCTGCCTTTTCACAATCAACCTGTGGAACTTGTTGCCAGAGGATGTTGTTAAGGCCAAGAGAACAACAGAGTTCAAAAAAGAACTAGGTAAGTTCACAGAGGATAGGTCCATCAATGGCTATTAGCCAGGACAGGCAGGGAGGATGTCCCTAGCCTCTCTTTTCCAGAAGCTGGGAATGAGCAACAGAGAATGATCACTTGATGATTACCTGTTCCATTCATTCCCTCTGGGGCACCTAGCACTGGCCACTATCGGAAGACAGGATACTGGGCAAGATGGACCTTTGGTCTGACCCAGTATGGCCGTTCTTATATTCTTACCAAAATAAAGAAAATGGCATTGGCTATGACTGGATGACCAAACAGCAAACAGCTGATCGGTAGCAGGGAGTGGGGGAAGGGGGGGAACTTGCACCCTCAGGGAAGAGGTGGGGGAGGCACTTGGCTGGCAGCAGAGCCTGCCCTGCTGCAGCAGGAGCCGGCAGCATCAAGCTTCTGCCCTCACAGGAGAAAGCGGAGGGGCGAAAAGCAGGCCGGGCCGGGGCCCCTTTGGATTGTGGGCCCAGCGCCATGGCAAATCTAGTACTGACCAGAACCCTATTGAGCGAGGCATAATACAAACAGAAGAAAAAGACAGTCCCTGCCCCAATGAGCTTATGCTTCTTCCAAGTGTTTATTTCAAACATCTTTGGTCCTGGATGGAGGACTGATTTTGCAACAGCAGATCTCTATGAGAGCTGAAGATGCCACTTGTTTTCCTTTATGGAAATCATAATCCGTTAACCTTCTGAGGTGAAACCTAGCACTTGATCGTATTCAATGTCAGCCCAGGCCTATGACTGACTTTTCTGGCACCATGCATCTGTCCTGAATCCAAGATACTTCAGGAACCGTTTCAATGTGTTTACTTCAGCTTTCTCTGTGTACTTAATCCTTCTCTCTTCCCAGATAATTTTTCTGGTAAGTGAATTTCCTTCTTCCCTAATGCCAATATTATTGCTGCCATGATCCTGGAGAAAGACCCTGGCAGCACATGTAATTTCAAAAGATAATGACTGACTATGGGAAGAGAGCTGCCAGACAGCTGCAAAACATAAGAGTTGTCTTGAGGATGGTAAAATGGAAATTCTTTGAAGACAAGCCTCCTATAGAAACTTACTTAGATATTTCATGCAGGGCCCTGTTCTGTTTGTCCCCAAACCTCTAAGGCTAGAAATAGAAATGAGGAGCAGAGGTTGTAACGTGCCGATCTGAAGTAGATGAATAATTTAATTCATGTCATGGCTTTTTCATGGGTTACTCAGACTGGGAATAAGACAAAGATATTCCTGCAATTCTTGTATAACTACATGAGTACCTCCTTTGGGCATAGGGCAGTACTTACCTTATTGTGGAATTCTTTGAGATGCGTGGTCCATATCCGTATTCCACTGTGAAGTACAAGTGTATGCCATGCACCTGAGACCGGAGAAATCTTGCAAGCAGTCTCCAGTGTTCCACCTGTGCCCCTGCACCAAAGATATAAGGACTCGGGCAGATCGACTACCTCTCCAGTTCCGTCTCTACCATGAATCTTGTCATATTCCGAAGCAGAGGGAAAGGAATAGGAATAGTGGAATACAGATAGGGACCTCACATCTCAAAGAACTCCAGTTAAAACTAGACACTTCCCTTTCTTCTTCGAGTGCTGGTCCCTATGTTTTATTTCACCACAGGTGACTGACAAGCAATACCAAGAGAGGAGGAGGATGCAAAGCTCCATGTTGTACAACTGCTTGTAGAACCACTGTCCTGAAGGATGAGTCAGCAGAGGAGCCTTGAACCAAGGCATAATGTCTCATGAATGTACGGATGGAACTCCATGTAGCTGCCCTGCAAATATCAAGCGGAGGCACTTCCTGAAGTGATACTATTGAGGCTCCCTATGTACAGTGAGCCCTTACCCCATGTGGAGGAGGAAGCTGTGCCAACTGACAGTAGATCCACTTAGACTCTCTGAGAGAACATAGTTTATCCATGTACTCGTTCTATGGCAATAACAACGAAAAGTCTGGGTGAGTGTCTGATCTGTTTCATTCTCCGCAGGTAAAATGCCAATGCTCATCTCATGCAGAGGGAATGAAGTTGCCTCTTCTCAAGAGACACGGGGCCATCCACGTTAGCATTGTTTGTGAAAGCATGTGGGGGCCCTTAGAGTGTTATAACAGTTCACCGTTTGTTTTTGATTAATCTGATGCAACCTGAGAGTTTTCATGCCAAAAAGAAAAGGGGCTTAGGTACTCGCCTGAACTTGGCTGCCTGTGAAGGGTGGAGTGTGAACTTGGCTGCCTGTGAAGGGTGGAGCAGGAGAGTGAGTTTGTGTATTTGGGGGGGGGGGTGAGGGGGGAAACCTGGATTTGTGCTGGAAATGGCCCACCTTGATTTTCATACACATTGTAAGGAGAGTGGTCACTTTGGATAAGCTATTACCAGCAGGAGAGTGAGTTTGTGTGTGTGGTTTTTGGAAAAAAAAAAAGGTGGGGGGGGGGTGTGGTGAGAAACTGGATTTGTGCTGGAAATGGCCCACCTTGATTATCATACACATTGTAAAGAGAGTGGTCACTTTGGATGGGCTATTACCAGCAGGAGAGTGAGTTTCTGTGTGGGGGGGCGGAGGGTGAGAGAACCTGGATTTGTGCTGGAAATGGCCCAACTTGATTATCATACACATTGTAAGGAGAGTGATCACTTTAGATAAGCTATTACCAGCAGGAGAGTGGGGTGGGAGGAGGTATTGTTTCATGGTCTCTGTGTATATAATGTCTTCTGCAGTTTCCACAGTATGCATCCGATGAAGTGAGCTGTAGCTCACGAAAGCTTATGCTCAAATAAATTGGTTAGTCTCTAAGGTGCCACAAGTACTCCTTTTCTTTTTGTGAAGGGTCTGTAGAGTGACAAGACCACTCTTACAGGTAAATATCTCCCCCAGTTAGAAATGCTAAGTTCCTGATCACCAGGGAAAATACCCACATTTATGTCTGGTAGGGATCCCAGTCTGATGATGGGAATGACAGTCTGATACCGTCCTAGACTTTTAGGTGTGACAGGAAGACCCAAACCCCCTTCATTATACCTTCCCAGGGTGAAGGAAGGATATATTACCATAAGTTTGTCAGAGGCAGCTGCAGACCTCCTCAGCATAGTTTCACAATATTCTGTACATCTCTGCCTGAAAGAGTCTATACTTCTAACCTAAGTTCCCTCTAAGCTGCATGCCTGCCAGAGGAGAGGCACCCCTCCCTACCAGCCCCAGCATGGGCCTTGCCCGCGACCAGGGGAGAAGCGCCCCTTCCCCGACTCACCAGAGTAGTTGGGTGAGAGACACCCCTCCCCACTGGCCCCAGCACAGACCTACCACAGCCGGGAGAGGCGCCCCGCCCAAAGCCCATCGGAGCTGCTGTCTAGTGGAGCCCCTCCCTTGGCCCAGCCCAGCCGGAGCTGCCACGGTTGGGGAGAGACACCTCTCCTCTGGCCCCGAGCTGCTGCAGCGAGAGAGGGCTGCGGGGAGTCCTCTCACTCACTGTAGCCCCAGGGCAGCCTGAACCCCAAACACCTCATCACCTCCATATTGGTGCACATAAAATTCATTCTGCACATGGACGTAAAAAATTAAAGGGAACACAGCTTCTGATCTGGACTGCTGGGCTTTGTGGGTATGTGCGCATGCATGCCTAGAGGAACAAGCATGTCTATGATGTGGTCTTTTCAGAATTGACCTGTCCTGCTGAACTCCATGAAGGTGAGCAAGAGAACTCGACACTGAGGATTATCCACACTGCTGCACTCTATGAAGGTGAGCAGGGGAAAATGCAATGGTTTTTCCCCCCTTCAGGAGTTTGTCCCAGTAATCATGCTTCAGAAGTAGGAGCAAAACTGGGCTCAGAGATTGCTAGCTATTGGAAACATTTGTGGAGCAATCAACCCATCCTCAGAGAGGCTGGGCTTATTTGTCTCCCCTTCCCCAACATAGGCCCCTTGACAATCTCTCATGGAAAATACTGACCAGATGCTCAAGAATGGGGCTCCCTAGCAGCTCTACCCCACTGTTGCATGCGGGATCCATATGGGCCAGATAGATCTGTTTCCCCTGAATGTCACAGCATAGGACATGAGTAGGTTTCTTTGGAGCAGGGTTATAGAGATGACAGGGGGTGAGAGCCGAAGCCAAATGCCCCGTATCACACACTGGTGTTGGCAGCATCCATGTGGTCTCTGGTGCCTTCCACCCAGGATCACTGGTGAAGAGGACTGGGAAGAAGAGAAAGCAGCTAAGCTGATGATCTGAGGTGTGGCTGCTGGTACCTATAGGGATTCTGGTACAGTCTTTCATCTGACATGCAGCCCTTCTAGCTTCACTCCCTCCTGATGGAGATTGACAAGAAGCCCTTCCTTCCCTGTCAGTTCTTTTCCAATCCTGCCTGCTTCCTTTCTTACCAGGGGGTGAGGAGCTGAGGCAGTCCCATTCAGACTGAACCAAAAAAGGCAGAAAGTCCACTCTGCTGCGAAAGCCAGCTGACCTTCCCAGTGAGAGAGGATGTTTGTTTCTTAGCTGCATACCTCTGAATTTGCTTTTGACAAAGGCCATGTCAAGGCAGGAGAGGAAGCCAGGAGGAACTGTGCAGCTATGCAGGGAAGCTTAAATACAGCATTGTGCTTCTTTTAACATTTGCTTGGACTCTATTTCACAATCAGCATTTCTTAAGACAATCATTTATAATGCAGTGAACATCCACCAAGCATGAGAGGAACAAAATACTGATGCAAAATGAGTGACGCCTGTTGTGCATATTTAGAAATTCATTCTATTCACTATTACTCCTTACTGGAGATCAATCCTCCACAATACCATATCAGCCCCAAAAGCAGCAGATTGCGAGGTCAGAGAATTAAACTTCCAAAGAAAGAGATGACCCATTTTCATTAAAAAAAAATACTGAAAACATAGAACAGAATTACAGAAAGTTACAAAAGCAGCACTGAACTTTTTCAGACACCAAGTAGATCATTAAGAAACCTTCAGTGTGTATTTTTGAAATTTACTTCCAGACATCTTTTGAAAGCTACATATAACATTTGGGAACATACCTGTTCAGATTTGAAATAGCCGATTGTGTTTTCATCTAACTGAAAGTATCTTCTCTTCCAGTTCTTCATCTATTAAAGGAAAAAAAAGAAAATATTGTAATCCAAGCAATACATGATTCCCTTTAATTTACACTCAGTCTAGCTAGGTTTTTTGAAAAATACATCAGTGAACCATTAGCAGTTATACGGAAGCTGCATTTTCCAATTTTTATTTTTGAAATTACTTTTAGCAATTCCTACTAAAAAGCTATTGGATATTTCTTGAACTGCCACACTTTTATTTCCAATTATTCCTATTCATAGGAATAATGTTTCCTACATTCATTACTCTAGATTATTTTAAAGCCACATATCCTGTTCTCTAAAGTCTAAGATTTAATTTCACAAGAAGTACACTTGGAAAGGTTTTCTTAAGGATCACAATGCCGCTAAGTCTGTGAAATCAGCAGTATGGTAATTCAATTACTCATCATTCTGTAGAAAGTGGCAAAAAATGTTTAGATGCTCCTTTGGAAAAAGAGTGAGAACAGAAAAAAGGTATCTGGGGAAAATTTAGGGAACTACAATCCTATACAGGACAAATTACCACTGATGAAGTGAGGTCCAAATTCCTTGATTTAGGGAATCTGTTCCAAAAGTGCTGTGGACAAATCTGAAATATGCACTTTCTATCTGACATTCTACATACAGGTAGAATGAAACAAACGTGTACTTTATTCACTTCATACACATCAAATGACCTGGAATAACAAATGGGATTAAAGTGATACGATTACTTGAATGGAAAACTGGGATAAGGGTAAACCGAGAGGGACAAAAAATAGAAAGACATGAAGACCTCTGTGTAAGATTGAAAGCTCCTCTTGGTGAAAGGGACAAGTTGGTCCATTACAAGGTACTACTTCACCCACCTTGTCTCTAATATCCTGGGACCAATACGGCTACAACAACACTGCAAATATGAATAAGCCAGAAATATACCTTATTCTGTTCAGAGAAATATAAAGAAAACTAGGGAATATGCCGCCAGCCAACCATGAAGACAGTAAGCAGGAAAGTACATTGAATAGTGGTGGTGAAGAAAGTATGTACTTCTATTACTTAGCGCTTAAACTATGAGTAAAAAAAGAACGAATATGTTTGCATATAAATTGGTATATCAAAAAGTAAAATGTTTAATATAACATAGGGGTTTATATTTACACCCTTCCCACTAATAATGTGATAATGGCTTAATAGATTTTTTTACTTAAACCGCTTAAACAGTATCGCCTCATATATTTGAATAATTTGGCCAGTACTCATATACTACAAAGGCAATTTGGCTATGAATTTATGCAGCCTATAAATGAACAAATTTTCACTGTTATTGTAAGTTGCACACCTAATATGGACTGTATTATACATATAGTTCACGTAATACTTTTCATATTACTTCAGTCTAACGAACACAGTATTTCTGCGTACACATCTCAGATTAGAAAATGAGTTTTCTACATGGTGTTTGAGAAACAAGATAATGTAAATACTAACATAATGCACACGCACAAGAGCAGACAAAGTTTTCACGCAATTGTAACGGACATTCTGATTTGAGTGTAACCATGCAACCTAAGCATCATTTTAAACTTATTTGTGTGTGGCATTTCTTTGGTGTCCTTCTAAAATAAAAAGGAAGAACAAGTTCATAAGAACAGCTGTACTGGGTGGTCCAATCTAGTTCACTATCCTATCTCCTAGAGTGGCAAATAACAAAGTTTCAGAGGGAGTGTACAGAACAGGGTAGTTGGAGTAATTCAGCCTTGTCTTTTCTTCCCAGCTTCTAGCAGTCAGAGGTTTAGGGTTGCCCTGAGCATGGAGTTACATCTATAACCATCTTGTGTAATAGGCACTGATAGCCCTATCCTCCATGAATTTATCGAATTCCTTTTTGAACCAAATTATACTTCTGGACAGAATACCCTCCCATGGCAATGAGTTCCACAGGTTCCTCTTGTTTATATTAGATCTGTTGCCCATTCTTTTCATTGGGTGACCCTTAGTTTTTGTACCGTGGGAAAATAACACTTCTCTATTCACTTTTTCCACACCATTCATGTTTTTATAGACCTCTATCATATCCCTCACCCCTTAGACATCTCTTTTCTAAGTGGAACAGCCCTAATCTTTTCAGTCTCTCTTCTCTGAACCTTATTCAAGGTATGATACTTTGTCTTATTTTTTATCCCTTTCCTCATAGTCCCCAACATGGTTAGCTTTTTTAAGCATTGCTGCATACTGAGCTGAAGTTTTCTGAGAACTACCCATGGTAACTCCAAGATCCCTTTCTTGAGTGGTAACCGCTAATTTAGAACCCATCATTATATACATATAGCGGGGATTATTTTTCGCAACATGCATTACTTTGCACTTAAACACAGAATTTCATCTGCCATTTTGTTGCCCAATCACCCAGTCTTGTGAGATCCCTTTGTAACCCTATGCAATCAACTTTGGACTTAACTATATTGAATAATGTTGTATCACATGCAAACTGTGCCACTTCACTGTTCACTCCCTTTTCCGATCATGAATATGTTGAACAGTACAGGTCCCAATACAGATCTTTGGAGGATCCTGCTGTTCACCTCTCTCCATTGTGAAAACTGCCCATTTATTCCTACCCTTCGTTTCCTATCTTTTAACCAGTTACTGATCCATGAGAGACCTTTCCCTCTTATCCCATGACTACTTAGTGTCTGTAAGCGTCTTTGGTGAGGGACCTTGTCCAAGACTTTCTGAAAATCCAAGTATACTACATCAGCTGGGTCATCCTTGTCTACGCATCTGTTCATACTCTCAAAGAATTCTAATAGGTTAGTGAGGCACGGCTTCCCTTTACAAAAGCTGTGTTAAACACAATTTGTTAGGGAAGAGTTATCTATGTCTCTGATCATTTTGTTCTTTGCTATAATTTCTACCAATATGCCTGGTACTCAAGTTAGACTCACCAGCCTATAATCATTAGAACTGCATCTAGAATCCTTTTTAAAAATCAGCATTAGCTACTTTCCAGTCATCTGGTACAGACTTGTTTATGAAATGGGTTATATACTACAGTTGTTAGAGCGGAAATTCCATATTTGAGTTCCATCACAACTCTTGGGTGAATACCATCTGCTCCTGGTAATTTAGTGTTTAATTTATCAAATTGGTTCTGAAACATCTTCTATTGACACATCAATGTGGGACAGTACTTCAGATCTGTCAACCAAAAAGGATAGCTCCGATATGGGTATTTCCCCCACATCCTCTGCAGTTAAGATTGACAGAAAGAATCCATTTACTTCTTCCACAATGCCCGTGTCTTCCTTGAGTGTTCTTTAACAGCTTGGCCATCTAGTGGCCCCGCTGCCACTTTGGCAGACTTTCTGCTTCTGATGATAAAAAAAGTTTCATGCTCCCAGACTTCAATGTTGCAAGTTTGCAGAGCTTTGAATATAGCATGTGCTAAATCCCTTAATCTTGAACTGTTTGGCTACATACCAATCTCCTTCACACCTTTGGAATTGCACAATTGCTCCTCCAAACCACATAGAACACCTAAAATCTTTCCCTAACCACTTCACACTTCATAAATCCTGCATGCAGTAAACTCTTGCTTCAGTCCAAATATCTTCTATACACTTTTCATTACAAAAAATAGCTGCATGTTCTCATGCCAAAGAGCATCCCTTAATTACACACTTAGCCTAAAACCCATGTGCAGCAATGTTTTCCTCTCCAAAACGTCTTAAATTTTAAACTAATACAAAAACAAGTGGAAGCACCAAAAAATCCCCACAAAAGCTGAAATACCACCAATACAGAGATAAAACACATACTACTACTACTGAATCACCACCCATTTGATAAAATTCTAATTCTAACTACCCTCAATATTTTAACAACATTAGTGTTATTTGGTAAAACCAAAGATCAGTATCAATTGATCTCAGTATAATATGCAAAGTAACCGTAATAACTTTGGGGCCTCTGTTCTTCACAAGAGGAATGCATTATTCTCCAAATCACTTACCACAGCGCCTTGTTTAACACAATAGCCAGCTTTGATAACAGCATTGTCTGGGGGAGGTTTAGCAGTAAAGTAAGGAAGGTGGCTTTGTGACCGTTTCAAGTAATTTCTGTCATCTTCTTCCCCACATTCATTTAATTCTTCTTTCTAGAATGAATCAGAGAAAGGTTCAGGATGTTCAGCGTTTGCTCCAAAGCCCAGTGATATAAGAACAGAAAATGAAAGTGTATTTGGTTCCCTAAACTTGGTATTTGGTCCACCCTGTACCCACAAACCCCATCTCTGATTTGTTTAGAAGCAGCAAATACTTGACACTGCAGTACAGCAGTAATATCAATGTGACAATTATCTACATAAGGCCTACTGGAGTACTCCAGGTACTGCTCAAAACTACACAGTTTGAAAACAGATTATGAACACATTAAAACAGATAAAGCAATTAAAAATAGTATGTTGAAGACCTAAGAAACAAAATCTTTACTCCTTTTAAAAAAAATTAATCCATGGAATGACTTTGTTTAGGAGTACAACAGTCTAGATAATTCCAAAACTATGATTTGGGCCAGTCATGCAAGTCTTCAGAACAACCAATCCCCCAACGTGACCTAAAAGCATAAGATAGTACACAGAGTGTCAAGCTCAGTAGAATGACAGTGCATCTACTTTTAGATCTAACCATTACTAACTTTTTATTTTCAATCAGGTTTCTAGCACACCGTTTATAAAAATCTTGGCTTTCTGAGCCAATCAGTATCTTTCCTTTCTCCACTGCAAAACGCAAAAACAAATATATCAGTTAACTTCAGTAATCGACTAACTTGAACAACTTTGACATTGCTCATGTCAGAAACTCATTTCATGCCAAGAAATTCAAACTCATATAGGGGGTCTAATTCTTGGAAGTAAAAAAGTCAACACTTAAAAGTGTAATCTTTCATACAGTCACAGAAAAGTAAAATAGTTGAAGAGACACCTAGATACCATATCAGGTAAACAATTTAAAAAGCAAGCTTATGAGAGTATGAGTCTTCTGGATGAGGATGGATGGGTTGACAAATTTATTATTGATAAAATAATGTATCTCAGAGTATCCTGACAAGACAGACACATAGCACAACTCTTCCACTAATAACATTTCCTTACTTGGTATGAAGCTATTACCTGAGTAGGTGTAATGATGGGAACACCACCAACAATTTCTGTTCTGTAAGACACTTGTTTCTTTCCACCCGGATTTTCAACTTGGCGATTTGAGCTATCAGGTTGACATAGCAGATCAGACTGCTTTGGTACCTGAAAAGTTAGACATGATGAATAATTTGATGTTTTCCCCTGTTTTAAGACTAAAAATAAAGCTAGTAATCCCCATGCTTAGGTACCTAAAAAGCCTCAGTTATTATTCAAGCACTCACATTCAGTCTCCAGAAGGATTTCTACAACTAGTTTTTAATTCTAAAGAAATATCTCAATAGGTAACTGTTTGCAACAGATTTGTGTTCGATATCAGAAAAAAAAAAACTGATCTGTGGTTAAGACACTTGACTGACTCAGGAAATCAGGGTTCACTTTCCAGCTCTGCCACAAACTCCCTACCTAATCTTCAGCAAGTCAGTTTCTCTGTGCCACAATTTCTCATCTGTAAAGTAGAAATAGTTTCTCCCACCTTGTCATTAAGCTCTTTAGGGCTAGGATTCTTACTACATGTCTAAACTTTGCTTAGTACAATGGGATCACAAACCTTGGTGTCTAGATACTACTGTAATGCAAAGAGTTACTATTCATACAAAGCTATCGTGTCGATGTTTGACAAGTGTCTTTGCTGCTTGATGCAGCATTTTCACCCACAATTTAATGCTTAGCATGAAGGTATTTAAATTACTATGAAACAATATGAACTAAACTGAAACTTTGCTTTAATTGTAATATCTGGAGCAAGGTGAAAAAAGTTATCCATACTGTTCAAGCGGCTTTATAGAATGACAAGATACAGGTTTGTACTTCAATGCAAAATCTTCAGGGCTAAAGAATGCAATGGTTAATCATCATTAACATGTTTCAGAGTAGCAGCCGTGTTAGTCTGTATTCGTAAAAAGAAAAGGAGGACTTGTGGCACCTTAGAGACGAACCAATTTATTTGAGCATAAGCTTTCGTGAGCTACAGCTCACTTCATCGGATGCATTCAGTGGAAAATACAGTGGGGAGATTTATATACATAGAGAAAGTGAAACAATGGGTGTTACCATACACACTGTAACGAGAGTGATCACTTAAGGTAAGCTATTACCAGCAGGAGAGCGGTGGGGAAAAAACCTTTTGTAATGATAATCAAGGTGGGCCATTTCCAGCAGTTGACAAGAACGTCTGAGGAACAGTATGTGTGTGTCCATTTATTCTTTTATGTAGAGACTGTCCAGTTTGGCCAATGTACATAGAGGGGCATTGCTGGCACATATCACATTGGTAGATGTGCAGGTGAACGAGCCTCTGATAGTGTGGCTGATGTGATAAGGCCCTATGATGGTGTCCCTGAATAGATATGTGGACATACAGTTGGCAACGGGCTTTGTTGCAAGGATAGGTTCCTGGGTTGTTGTGTGGTTGCTGGTGAGTATTTGCTTCAGATTGGGGGGCTGTCTGTAAGCAATGATTGGCCTGTCTCCCAAGATCTGTGAGAGTGATGGGTCATCCTTCAGGATAGGTTGTAGATCCTTGATGATGCGTTCGAGAGGTTTTAGTTGGGGGCTGAAGGTGATGGCTAGTGGTGTTTTGTTATTTGCTTTGTTGGGCCTGTCCTGTAGCAGGTGACTTCTGGGTACTCTTCTGGCTCTGTCAATCTATTTCTTCACTTCAGCAGGTGGGTACTGTAGTTGTAAGAATGCTTGAGAGAGATCTTGTAGGTGTTTGTCTGAGGGGTTGGAGCAAATGCGATTGTATCGTAGAGCTTGGCTGTAGACAATGGATCGTGTGGTGTGGTCTGGATGAAAGCTAGAGGCATGTAGGTAGGCATAGCGGTCAGTAGGTTTCCGGTATAGGGTGGTGTTTATGTGACCATCGCGTCCAGGAAGTGGATCTCGTGTGTGGACTGGTTCAGGCTGAGGTTGATGGTGGGATGGAAATTGTTGAAATCATGGTGGAATTCCTCAAGGGCTTCTTTTCCATGGGTCCAGATGATGATGATGTCATCAATGTAGCGCAAGTAGAGTAGAGGCATTAGGGGACGAGAGCTGAGGAAGCGTTGTTCTAAGTCAGCCATAAAAACATTGGCATTCTGTGGGGCCATGCAGGTACCCATAGCAGTGCCGCTGATTTGAAGGTATACCTTGAATAGAGACTGGGAGTGGATGGATCATTACACAAAGTAAAACTATTTCCCCATGTTTATTCCCTCCCTCTCCCCCACCGTTCCTCAGACGTTCTTGTCAACTGCTGGAAATGGCCCACCTTGATTATCACTACAAAAGGTTTTTCCCCCCTGCTCTCCTGCTAGTAATAGCTCACCCTACGTGATCACTCTCGTTACACTGTGTATGGTAACGCCCATTGTTTCATGTTCTCTATGTATATAAATCTCCCCACTGTATTTTCCACTGAATGCATCTGATGAAGTGAGCTGTAGCTCACGAAAGCTTATGCTCAAATAAATTTGTTAGTCTCCAAGGTGCCACAAGTCCTCCTTTTCTTTTTGAGAATCATTAACATGGAATTTTGGGGAGAGGAGTGTGCAAATTGTAAGATGAGTTTAACAATAGGATCCAAAGATTAGTGTTCCACAGCAATTTAAGACAGACACATTAAGAACTGTATGCAGATTATGCAAGTTACTCAACTTGATACACTACTATAAGAAATCTCTGGACATTAGCTTACCTTCAAGCAAAAATTGGCATTATTTCATCAAGAGAGGGGGATAAAAGGTGAGGTGTGTTATACGAGCTACACAAAAGGCAAATGGGACTATGCTGAGTAATACCACTTACCTCTTCATACTGAGTACTGATGAAGTAGATCACTGTATCACAGGAGCACCAAAGAAAGGAAATAGGAGATCTAGTACTTTCCAAAACAAACAGGAAGTGCTGAGGGAACTAACTTTTAGGAACTCTCTCTGAAAGTGTCTAAAACTGACACCCAACCTTTGTAAATAGGATTACCTGGTGAAACAACATGTTCAGGTAGTTTGAGAAATACCTTTGAGAAATACCGGAAGCAAAAGCAGTTCATGTTCCGCCTTAGCTATTTTCGAAAATGGCTATGTTTATCCAAGTTTGTCGGAATCAAATAGTTCTAAACCATCTGCCCCAGCCTCCACATCTGAAAAACCTTTACAAAGGTTTGTTACTTCACACAAAATCAAGTCATCGATGGTTGCAAAATAAGCATCCATCTATTAGATAATCAGGAGAAGCAGCTACTCCTTTTCTTCTTCACCTTGTTTGACTGTGCTCCTTGCGGCTCAGTAGGAGCTGCAGTCACAATGGTGCCTCTGCCACTGAATGGTCTCCCACAGCATCTGACAATAAGCCCTCTTGCAAAATCTCACATCAAGACACAGTATTTCCAAAATATTTTTAAATATTTGAATGCTTTTGAATACGTCAGTCTGCTAAAGCTGAGCTAAAAGGTGCCGGCTCTTCAGGAGCTTGATTCTGCCTGTTCTTGAGTTTGTGCCAAATCTGAAAACTGCATAGTTTTCTATCCTTGGAAGCAATACAAAGGCATTCTATTCCAAAAGGTAACATCTTTATGACTTGGATTAGCCTGCTTTCAAACAAATCAGAACCCCAGAACAAGGGTCAAGAACGTCCAATTTAGGAAAGGCAGAGCAATTCAAAAATATCAGATGTATGGCTGATCTAATAGTTTCAGTATTGTATATCTTGGTCTGGAGTATAAATGAGGAAGCAACTTCTTTCTTGTTCTTCAAAAGAGAAAGTATTTTGCTTTATGAGCTTTACAATTCTTAAATCTAGTCTAATCAAAGTCTCAGTTATAATAGTTTTTACTTATAAACACAAATGCAATGGGAAAAGACAGCTACTACTTCTGAGTGGCTTTGATGTTTGGGTACTGGAAATAATCTACTGAAAAGTGGATGTTAAAGTTTCCAAGAGCCGTGACAGAAAACTATTACCTAGGGCAGTTTGCTTGCAGAAAGTACAGCTGAATTATTCACTGGATAAACAGCACTAATTAGGAATATGCTTAATTTTTTTTGATAGCTGTGCTCCTAAAGCACAGTAAGATACACACAAAAGAAGAAAGGCGATGCAGCTTGTGTCATTTTCGATTGAAGTTTGTTAGCATAACCCAAGGCACATTAAAGTTCAATAATCTGAGGATTAAGTGTGAAGTCTGAAGGATTTATTAACTGACTATGCTATAGACAGAGGTTAAAGTATAACCTTTGTATCAATCTAATTGCTAAAAATCAGTCAAGCCTTCTACAAATCTTGATTAATTGGATTCCATTCCATTAAATCATATATGAACTTAATTCAGTGAAGGTTCATATTTTCAAGATTTTAACAGATTTTAAATAATTTCATGATGTTCTCAATGTAATTTACAAGAATAATAATAAAGGTGAAGTTAATTTTAACTTTGTTCAAGTAATTGGGGGGCTCAACGTCTGAACAACAAGAATGTACACTTCTTCAATCCTGTATCCGGCCTGTGTCATCTTACCTCTCCTATGAGGAACAAAATTCCTTTTGACTCCTCTTTGGTACTAGTTCTAAATTTTGTAGTTGGCAATTTTAGGATGACATGGCAATGTGTGGTTCATTTAGAGTTGCCATAGAGAAGATAGAAATATTTTTCATAGAAGAAAAATATTTCTATGGAAATATCTTTAAATATATGGTGGGAAATTGTGGGCTGGATTTGTTGGTCAGATCCAGTTCCTTTGTTCCACTCTGGAGGTGCATGGGTCTGTAATGCCTATGGATCTTTTTGCTGGGAATACTCAGAGTAGCCTATACCACCAACTCCTGCAGCTCCCAACAAAGTGGACATATGTCAAGAATAAGGGCCCCAAAGTTACTGCAGTTTAGGTTTCATGACTGGCATAACAGCCCTCCAGAGCTACTATATCTGGCCAGAGTAGTTTACAGCAGTCCTGGAATTGGCCTCACAATCAAGAAGTTGCAACCAGTTCCTCTATAGCACCCCACCACACACTGCACCCAGTCAAATCTGGATACTAGAAAAACTTGTCCCCATATATTAGACTCCTTTATTGCTCATAAATAGGGCCCTACCAAATTCACCATGCATTTTGGTCAATTTCACA